ATCCTTAACCCCCCATACTGTTCGTCCTGATAATTTTCACTAGATAACACCCGATCGCGGCATATTAATCATAAGGCAAATACGAAGTGTTTATTACGTTAAGTACTACACCACACACAGATAATCAAAATTACAAGGATGTTGATCAAGCATGAAAGAGTAGTTCCGAAAAGCAAGCAGACAAGCGAGTGAGCGTGCGAGTCGAATAAGCGAGTCAGCGAGTCGATGAACAGGATTAAAATGTACATATATACACACGGTGAAATGAACGAATCATGGAATCAATTCAGCTACTATTAGTAAGCCTAGCATAATGAATATATGCGTAGGCAGCAAGCGATTCTCAAGCATACATATCCATGCAAGCAAAAACCAATAATAAAGGTACAAAGGTACAGAGCTGCTATCACTACGTCATACTGCTCGCACAAAATGATTAGTCAGTTCAATTTCACTGATGCATACCAGACATATTCAAATACACTTCAATGATAGCCTGCATCATCACATTGACGTAGTGTTCATTGGCAGCTCATTGCATTCAATCCTGGTATGTGTGTTCATGAGATATATAGAACAGACAGCAGTGAAATCAGTGATCAGTTGGACACAGTTTTACGTGACTTAATTGTGTGATACATTTGTGGCGCGTAATACATAACACTTCGCTTCCCATATACTCAGGCTTCAGAACACAGGACACTTGAATATCGGACCTACAGTTGAACATGTTTATTTTCCTTGCATGAATCAAAAATAAGAAATTTGTAAGCCATTCATTTTTCATTCAAACACAGTACTCGCAGAGTATTCACAGCGATCTTCTCGTTAAACACTATGGAGTTTAATCAATTCATAAAGACCAGTATTTTCAACCATCAACGAACATCATGTCCGTATTCATTTTATCACAAGTAGACGTTTCAATACTGTTCTCTTTGATATCCATTATGGAAGTTTCAATTCCTTCTCACTCCTCCATCATTCCAATCCGGTATATGATTTGCACTAAACTTCAGTGTTGTGTATGGTTAAACAATCGTCCAGGAATATCATGTTACATTCACAAATCTGCATAAATTATACACAACACCTGACACCATTGCTCTATTCGATCTCTTCAAACAAACACATGTGAAAAACTCATTTCACACTTATCATCAAAACATTTCCAGATAACACCTCAAATTATCAAAGTAGTTCCAATCAGTCATTTGAACTTCCTTCAATCAACGTAGAAAACACAATGTTCAATTCTCACTAACACATTGCATCAGGTACATATACACACTGTGAACATACACATACTTGAGAATACATGTGTAGGGAATAACACACACGCGCATACACACACACACACACTTGGAACTAATCATATCTCGTATTTCAATTATCAACTTTAAAAATCGAATGTACAAATATTCCGTTTCACAGACAACAACCCACATCGAATTCAATGTTCGATCATATCACGTTGAATCATGATCAGCTTATTATTATTATTATTAATGATCACGCAATGTTGCAATTAATTACTGAAGTTGTAAACGGAGATCGATCATTCCGTCAATTCGGCAAAGTATATAATATTCAACGTGTTTGTGTAATCACTAATCCATCTAAGTAGATATATCAAACTATCGAGAGTAGAAAGGAACTGTGAATCTACTGAACAATAGGAGGTGGATATGAGACTGGAATATATCTCCACATGATTTCTATCAAACATTTCAACCAGTATCTTTGTCACATGCACCAACATACTGTACTCACATATCAAATTACCCGAAACAATCTTCTACCCATTCATTTTGGATTCAGTGTTTAACAGACATCAGCATCATCATCATCCATACTAGATATTCTTGTTTCAATGCTGTTAATTAGTTGAATATGCTCGGTCAAGCACATTGATCACATGCACCGACCGGTATCTGAGATTTCTCTGTCAGGTTGTATGAATCCAGATGATTAGTGTAACACCAGTCAACCACTATCCACTTCCAAACATATTGTTAATTCCACACGTTGCCAAATTCTCACATTTTAATCAATCAGATTCAATGTTTGAAAGAACATGGATTCACCATCGTCTGATTGTGCTACATCAGGTCATCTTCACGTTTATCCATCTCTCTACTGGACACCATCTGGATATGTTCGTTGAACTATCGATGAAAATGAGTAAAAGCTTAAATAGATGGAATCAGAGATAATCAAAATACCATGTGAATATGTCGAAAATTCATAAACATCAACAGTTGAGAAAATCATGATCTGAAACTGAATTTGTGGTGTCTAGTTCTATGTCAAGTCCACAGATGTTTATCTGTTTTCCACATTGACCAACTCATTCATTCGTCTTAACTCACATTTTCACCTTGTTAATTATTCGCCTATTCACCATGATTGATTTTATATGAATGTGTGTTTGATTATATCGCCCAACCCTTTCATCATCATCACCACTTGTCTGCAGTTTACTTCTGTTTAGCTACAGAAAGTGAATCACTCTTTGCCAAATGGAACTAACGCACTTACTGTGCACAGTCTGCCTCTCCACTTCACTTAACTCATTCTGTTTCTGCACCATTATTCATTCTCATATTTCACTCACTTTTCGCAGTTATCATCCAATGAGAAAGAAGTCGATAATTGTATACGATGGTAGGCGGCATGCATATCACATTCTATTCATATTTAAATTTCACATTTCATTTCGCCAACTACACTACACTCTACCATTCAATATATCAAATACCCTTCCGTTATGATCTCACTCAATGTGAAATAGGTGAATCCTCTCATTGCATACAATATGAGTTGTGACTAGCACTACAATGCATGAATGTTTTCACGGGTTTCCGTTTTCAATGTTTATTGTCAGTTTGTTACCAACCGTGTGCATGTGCGTGTGTGTGTTTACGTGATGGAGGAAAACAGAAAGAACTGCAAAGAGTGAGAGAGAGAGATTACCAGTGGTGTGGTTTGAATGATACTTCCGTTCTCTTCATTCGAACGTCTATCTCTCTATCTATCCATGTTTCTATTTGGCTATCTATCTATCTATATGTTTATCTACATTACTTGTGACAATCTCATTGATGGAATACAAAGAAGGTAACAGATAGAATGAATTGATTTCCGGTTTATTCAATTTCTTGTTTCAATCAATTCATATGAAAATTTCAATTTGAACATTTGTGTGGTATGCATATTGAAGAAAATGTAATGTGATCAGATCACTCAAAGAGACTAAACCTCCTCCCTTGTTCATGTATCTTTGAATGATGGATCGGAATTTCGTGATGATGCGAATTTCGATCGCAGTGCTCGAAAGAACATAGAGAGTGGAAAGACACTAGATTTTCACCACAATGTATCAACTTAACACTCAACATCATTTTCGACATTCCACCGATTACTCACAAAATATTCAACAACATAATAAGAATACTAAATGAACATTGTTCTAATTTACACTCAACCCACTAACACCGATTCCACTGACACGAGTGTTGGATGGATGACACTGTGAAAATGGAATGATGGGGATTTATAACTGAACACGATGATGAATATACAGCATTTTCGTTCTGTCACTTTCGGTTTATTCAGCAAACCAAGTTTCACAAGTGATTATCTGTCCACAATTCACATTTGACAGATTGTCAACACACACGTGTGCTAACATGCTCGTCCTTTGTGTAATTTACGACACTTCGACTAGAATAACGTTGAATAAACAGAATTCACATTAATGTGTTTGTGTTTGTGCACACATAAATTTTGTAGAAATCAATTATTCAATGATGTCGGTGACGGTGATCTGTTCCAATACAACTGCATGCACGCTCATCTACAAATAACAGAACATTGAATGTTTAATCGAATCAGTTCCCATCAATTATTTCCAGTTGTACAACACACCTCGCAACAATACTACACTATACATTACTATACAATACTATTCATGCTTGATTAAGATACTACTGAACAAAAACAAATCATAATGAAAGCGACAATAAATGTGTGCACACCGTTAACTTAATGTGATTAGATCAGTCGACATGATTAAAATAAACAAGCCTGTCTGAGATGTTCGTGTTGATGCTGATGATTTCCATGTATATTGTTTTATGCTTACTGAATAGTCAACTATCATAACATAAACTTATATTCGTTAGTGGAATTACAAGCACATAGATTTGACAATGTTCTTAGAGTTTGATTGCTCAAACATCAATAAACACATCACTTCCATTGAAGCCTGAACAAGTGAACGACGGATAGGAAGTCAGTTTGGTCAATGAGAAACCCTGAACTGAAATACGATCAGTTTGATGTTTAATGATGATTGTGACCAGTTCGAGTAGTCAAATCAAATCATCAATCGTTTAATCGTTGTACGGAATGAGTCAACTAGTGTGCTAATTCAATATACAGTCCACTCTACTGAATAACACAGTTATAAAATAAAAAGATTGGTCGAATCATTTGTTGTGTGAGAAATGTTACAACAAACACAAATCGAAATTGGAACCAAGTCACATCAATTAATGTGTTTTTCAGTGAACAATTGGTGTTTAATTCAGGTCACAAATAAAACCAGATCGATTCTGAAATCGATTCGAGTGAACTAACTTACTAACTAACCAACCAACTAACGATCACTATAATTCCCCTGACTCACCTACAATCTATGAAACTGTGTATTCAAACTGTATAGCGCCAACTGAAACAACAACAACAAAACACATTCATGTTGATCATGGTGGATAAGCGAGTGAGAATGAACATCTTGTGTGCGTGTAACATCCAATTTGAAACAGCTGTTATTCTTATCAATGTCTATACATAGTTGATAATTATTGTATGTAGAAGAATGAATATATAACAGTGTGAAAATGTGTTTCACATTAACCAATTCACAGTTTGCACTCTCATCAATTCTGTGATGGTGGTGATGATAATAATAAAAACAGGATATCACGGTTTTAATGTGCGTGTATGTGTATGTGTCGATATTCAGTTCAATATTCATGGAAGAGGAAGCTGTAACTTGCAGTAAGTCAAATACAACTGGTATTTATACAACATTCGGTCAACAACTGGTTGACACGATAACAATGTGAATAATCAATGGAGAAGTGATAGATCGGACAACAAATGCACTAATCCATTGATTAAATTGCATTTCACTGTTCAACGGGATATAAGAGATTCGACACAAGAATATAGTTCAATTATTTGCACATTCAATATCACGTCAACGTCACATCACTGAAATCACTGATCAGTCACACAATTCGTAGATGAAAACATGAGAGTGATGAACATGCTTCAAAGTTGTATACACATGGAATGAATTTAATTTCAATTCGATTTTCATAACACCAAATCTTATAACATGGAACTACATGTGTCATCATCATTTGATAATATCAGAACAACGATTACTCCCTTCCACTGAACAATGTTGGTCAACATGGAAATATTTGATGCTGTTCAGTTGTATCACGATGAATTCATTGACAGTGAATTAACGTCTAAACACTAATTACCATCGATTTGAACGAATTCGTTTAGAAATGAAAATTTCCTATGAATATCACCGCCACACAGTTGACTACTCACTTGTATCTCTTAACGATCCACAACAAAATCAACACGATCATCTGCACTCTGTTGAATCGATATGATAATTTGTAGCTGACAGATTTTGCATTGAAAATATTTCACTCTCTTCAACAGTACAATAAGACCTGAGAGAAATACTCACCTTTCCATTCTACTTGAAGGATGACAGACATCAATCTTTAACAAAACACTACACTACATTAATATCACTGTCCCTATCACTAAACAAAAACACACATTCAGTATTACATAGTTGAAAAATAAACAAGACAAATCGTGAATTACACTTTCCAAATTCATCACCAATATTCCTGAGAGAAATTCGAATTTCCGAAAGAAAATATGACTCGACAAATGCAAAGACACTGCACATAATTTGAGCGAGCGAGTGAGTGAGTGAGTGACGAATATGAGGAAGGAATTTGGTGTAGAGAGTGACAGAGAGTGGGAGAGATGACAACAAATCAAGACTGAATGATGAGAATTCACATGTTGACAAAATAACCATTTCATCTAAACTGTTGCACGTTGTGTGTGTTCAGATCTAAATTGGTATTTATCCATCGAACCAACATGGGAATGAATCAATAGAATTTTGACAATACAATTGTTTACACAAATGTCAATGTCACATTGACACATTGAAAACAGACGGGTGATACACTGCTAGTGATGTCACCTATCTTGTCGTTGAATCAACTGAAATATGTTAGCATCTCTATATCAGATCTACACCACCTGACAACTACCAAGTTGCATTCATTGCATCCACATTGCATTCCTTATCAATGAAATCTTTTAATCGAGAATCAATCAGTTCAATACGTATCTTCCATACATCTCCCAAACTCACATCAATAATTCCTCTAACATCCTCTAACATAATACAAACTATAATCCACGGAAACTTGAAACATGTATTTTGCGTAGTGCAATAATCTCAGCGAATCTGCACACTTCATCACATTTGTGTTACTACATGCAATGAACATATACTGTCTCATTACAGGTCACAAAATTCTAAGAATAGTCTATTTTCTCTTCATAAACGTTGTCCCTCATCTTACACAAATACGAATTTGGACACTTGCTAGCTTACGTCTGTTACACCTCATGGAGGAGCATAGGTCATCCACAAGTATTCACCAATCGATTCTGTGTTAGGATTTCTATTCCAGTTGTTCTCAATCGTTTACTATATTCACTTGAATATGTCAGTTTATATATAATAGATGATGCAGGTGATCTATGAACTCCAAATGGTGTTGTTGATTCCGAGATGTCCATTGTATTCAGCACTTCACCTCAGATATAGTGCTTCTCATAATCTAGTCAAACACCAGACTAAAACGAAAGGACTCGAGTAAGGTAGTTCGTCACACACCTGTCCTCACTTCGAGGGCGTCTGTCAGCTGTGACCAGTTTCATTCAATTGATTGTTACAAAATGATCAGTAGTGTCACGATGTTCTCTGTCAAAGAAAGATCCTCATTGAACTCAGCCTACTGATCTCGAGGTTGGACGTGTGTATGTGCTGCATCGATGTTTGATGGATCTAGTGCGGTTGATCCATTCAAGAATTCTTCAAACTGTTCTACATACCCATTCTACTGCTCTTCAATCTCAGTGATTGTCTTGCCTTCTTTACCCTTCACCAGTCTCTCTGATTTGCGATATTTCCATTTCTGTTTCTTCGTTGTGTCATATAGTTCACGCACGTTTCCTTCTCTTAAAGCTTTCTCCATTGTCATTGACAGGTCTCCCACCTGTTTCCACTTCTCAGCTCTTACGCTCTTCTTCACTTGTTTGTTTGATTCCGTCTACTCGGATTTTGCCTCGACATTTCATGATCCTGTTCTGCTTTCGTGAATTGCTGTCATTTTGTTCTGCCTTTCTTGAATACTGTCCAGTGATTCGATACAGATGCACACTTTCTCCTTAATACCACATTTTGACTGCCGAATTGTGTAGTAAATTAGTATGTCCGACAAAGTTATGCAACACGATAAACAAGAATCGAGTAAATGATGTTCACTTGTGATCACAAATGAAGTCCATCAAATGAACATTCAAGTTCAAGTCGATCAATTATGTACAGTGATTTGAAACGTGTGTTCTGATATTCAAGTTTTAATCAACCGAAATCTAAAACATCTGTTCACTCATTTGTATTCTCATTCACCTTTATACAACCATACTTCTCATATGCCACAACTGACTACCACTCATCAACAAACTCACATTTATCATGTCATCAACAATGTGGATAATTATTCATACACTTCTCAATGTATGAAACAGCAGAAAGACAAGTTCGATGATAGAATGATTGTTCCACAGTAACATTGTCATTGTTATATGTGGTGAAAAGATGACGATTGTAATGTTACAGGAAGTCATTCACTTACACAAACAACAGTATCACCATCATCATCATCATCATCATCATCATCATCATCATCATCATCATCATCATCATCATCATCATCATCATCATCATCATCATCATCATCATCATCATCATCATCATCATCATCATCATCATCATCATCATCATCATCATCATCATCATCATCATCATCATCATCATCATCATCATCATCATCATCATCATCATCATCATCATCATCATCATCATCATCATCATCATCATCATCATCATCATCATCATCATCATCATCATCATCATCATCATCATCATCATCATCATCATCATCATCATCATCATCATCATCATCATCATCATCATCATCATCATCATCATCATCATCATCATCATCATCATCATCATCATCATCATCATCATCATCATCATCATCATCATCATCATCATCATCATCATCATCATCATCATCATCATCATCATCATCATCATCATCATCATCATCATCATCATCATCATCATCATCATCATCATCATCATCATCATCATCATCATCATCATCATCATCATCATCATCATCATCATCATCATCATCATCATCATCATCATCATCATCATCATCATCATCATCATCATCATCATCATCATCATCATCATCATCATCATCATCATCATCATCATCATCATCATCATCATCATCATCATCATCATCATCATCATCATCATCATCATCATCATCATCATCATCATCATCATCATCATCATCATCATCATCATCATCATCATCATCATCATCATCATCATCATCATCATCATCATCATCATCATCATCATCATCATCATCATCATCATCATCATCATCATCATCATCATCATCATCATCATTTCCCTTCATCAATATTGATATCAGAGATTATGTGGATAGCAACAATATTTATACAACAAGAGGGAATGTCATCAATTACATTCAATGCATATCCATTCTTGGTTTAATTTATTATGATGATTGTGATTATTAATATTTATATAAAACGACCGGAAATAATTATAAATCGGTAATTGTAGTGATGATAATGATATCATGATAGAATTGAACTACAATCGATTGATCACTGGTTAGTAATCAATGTCGTGAATGTCAAGTCCTTTTTAATGCAGATCGACTAGGTTGCAATTTAGACACTAGTGTAGGTGACTGGACATTGAGTGCACTATATTGGGATGAGTTGGCAGTTGGAGGTAATCAACAGGAATCCTTGGACCTAGATTTCCTGCTATTTTGACACTTGTCAGAAAGGTGTACTTGTAATCTTGATGTAACTTATGCTCTCTGACGGATTCGACTCCTCGTCACTCAGCTTTACAGTCAGAGACGTTAACACTAGGCTATCTGGGCCATATGCATGAAGTTACTCAGTTGAAAATTCATATCATTATAAACAACTAAGTTTAAGTTATAATTATTATACATTACAGTGGATATTACAACATATTGGTTTCATTGAATGTTATTAACTTGATAATTATTGAATAACTTGGAGTTATCAGAAGTCTTACTTACTTACGCCTGTAACTCCTCGTGAGGGATCATAGGCCGCTGAACTTCTAAATGATTTACAATTAAATTTTAATTACCATCTCTTGTGATAAATTTAACTATATTCTTTCACTAGAGTGTAGGAGATGACAAACCAACTTCTAGTGGAGTAGGAAATTAGGAAAAAACGTTGGAAGTGGATAGGACATACATTACGGAAATCATTAAAATGCATCACATGGCAAGCCCCAAATTGGAATCCTGAAGGGAAATGGAAAACAGGAAGAACAAAGAACACATTACGTCAGAAATCGGAAACAGATATTAAAAGAATGAATAACAACTGGAAAGAACTGTATACGGTTGGCTAGGATAGAATTGGATGGGAAGTGCTGATGGGCGGCCTATGCTCCTTAACGAAGGGTAACAGGTGTAAGTAATTAAGTTTCTCTATGTATTTATATTTAAGTAATGACGTTTTGAAAAGAAAATTAAATCCCTTTCTCTAATGAACTGTTTTCTAGAATGAAAAATCTAGGATTTTTCTATCCCAGTGAATGTAATTGTTAACATTCCTTCATTAAATTGACTTACATGATCCATTAATTGAAGAAATAATTGAATTATAATTTGATTAGAATATATCCCATGACCATTCAACATCTGAATGGTGATTTTAATAATTGAATTCATGAGTCAATCTAAGTTAGACTAACATTGAAAATCTGGAAGAACCGTTTCGTCCTGGTATAGGACTCTTCAGCAGTGTGCATCCATGATCCCACATGAAGGATCTGTAACTAAAACAATTATTAACGTTTTGAAAGTAATAGATTCACTGTATATTAGTATGACAAATCATCTTCAATTCAACCGAAATGATACATTATCAACTACATACTGGGAGACATCTCTCTTAAATACAATAATCATTTAATAAGTTATTGGATTCAATTGTATCTTCTTTAAGAATTAATCGTAAGTAACTAAGCTTACTCAATTAGTTGTAAGTAAGTAAGTCAGTGGCATAAAAAGAACGAATTTTTGAATAATTATCATTCAAACAAATATGCTCTTGATCTTTTTTATCAATGAGAAGATACCTTCAATTCTAAAAGGCAAATCTCATTCACAAATCAATATTAGATTACTTTAAAAAGTGATGTTAGGCTTCATAACTAAAAATAGTATTTTAAATAGATGTTGATGTCATAACTTGTGGCCTTGTGACCATATCAGTATATGAAGTCATGATACCACCAACTAGAGAGCAGTGAATTATCCACCGGACTAATGACGTATAAACCCGTACTAGAAGTCTATGGTCTTTATCGGTATTTCTTCCTGTCTACCTCTGTCTGTTAAGTCCAGAACACAAATCTCAACCTTCACGATATGAATCATGTTTTTCGAACATACTTGATTTATGTACAAACCAAACAGACCACATCATACCATAAAATAGAAAATAAAATTTGTAAACGATCAAGCCGAAAAGTGACCGTGAATGTGGGAGACTGTAATTAATTGACTGGACATAACACAAGAACGATAAGTCCCATAATAATGGTTTATGGGTCAAAATAAAGCTTTTAATAAGAGAAACATGGATATGCATAGTTTAATTAATAGTTGACACTACACATAATCATTGAGGTGGTTAAAACATAACAATTCATTTAGTAAATGAAGTAATTATCAGTATAGGGGTTGTGGAGATTATTAGGCTTTTGATTGAGATCATGAACCGATTGATGTTAGACCACCTTTGAAAACCTGGAAGCACTGGACGGCCGTTTTGTCATATTGTTAGACTCCTTATCAGTGCGCATCCACGATCCCACCCGCGGGATTCAAACCCATAGTTTTCAGTCTCGCTCTCGAATGCTTAACCTACTGGACCACTGAGCTGACACCCAGTGCTACTAGTGTCTCACATCAACCAATCCACGAATTTGTGCGACCATCTTCAATTGTACTGAGGTAGATACCTGTTTCTACTCGACACGAATTAACTTCACGGGTCACGGCTTCTCACTAGAACTCCAAGAATCCTCTCATGAAGTTAGTCACTAGTGAGTACAAGTAACTGTCTACCAACCAACTTTAACTCATCTGTCGTTTGTATTTAAATAGACAATTCAACTGTTCGCTTATCTATTCATTCAATTCTATATATACATATATAAGTATTTAATAAAACATCTGATAACTAGATGATTCAATTCAACTGTCTCCATCATATTGTTGTAGATTGTTTTGATAGCTTATCTTCATTCATTCATTCATTCATTGACTGATTAACTGATTGATTGATTCATTCATTATCTAATTTAGTTTATTTAATCTCATGGGTAATCATTGTAATTTATTTCGACCATCCCCACTGAAATTCCATTTTATTCATTTACAATAAAGGATGACAGACAATTTATAACACTATAGACATTATTCTTCTTGTATCTACTAATAAGTTGACTGATATGATCAATCATGACTTTTAAATAAATGTTGAACCATATAAAAGTGCAAAAGAAAATACCGGAACATTAGCAACAAGGGGAATTCGGGGTCCAAGGAAAGATGAAAAGGTTGAACGAATCATTTTTGTTTAAGTTCATGGATTGACAATACTTTATGTAGGGCACACTACATTAGCTGTACAAAGCGATCACTTTCTAAACGCATCTTAAAACAGTATTCAATTTGGCTTTTAAAAAGGAGAATGTAAAACAATTACTAGTTCTATACAGGAAAATTTAATCACTTGTAGATATATCGCTCCAAAGGATTCTACTTTTAAAGTAATCTACGAAGTCAAAGAAATTGATGTTGAATCAAGCAATCCACGAAGTCAAACCCCGAACTTTACTTACAGAAACGTGCAGAAGTTATAATTCAAGAGGCTTATAAACAAAAAGAAATTACGATATTCTTATAACATTTTACATTTACATTTAAAAGTATCCTTTCTTATATACTTCTGTTAATTCGTCGTGATTGCCATCATATTTGCATGCACTTTTCAAAACTAAACAAACTTGATTAATTATATAACTACGTCTTGGACTGTTTACTTACTTACTTACTTACTTACTTACTTACTTACTTACTTACTTACTTACTTACTTACTCACTTACTTACTTACTTACTTACTTACTCACTTACTTACTTACTTACTTACTTACTTACTTACTTACTTACTTACACTTGTTACTCCCAACGGAGCATAAGCTGCCGACAAGTGTTCTCCAACCTTTTCTTTCTTCGGCGTTCCCTTCTAGTTCAATCCAATTTTTATTCATTCTTCTCATATCTGTCTCCATTTGTCAATATAAAGTGTTCTTTGTTCTTCCTCTATTCCTTTGGCCTGCTTAGTATTATAAAAAAGATCAAGTTGCGATGACTGTAAGGGTTATAACTTAAATCTTTAGTTTTCAGTAATAAGAATATTAGATTGGTGGACCAGTATTAATCCTGACAGTTTACCTTCTCGTGAAGGTTCAACTTCTCCTTGAAAATGTTCACTGATGGGACTGATACCACTCGCTTGAGTAAAACGTTCTAATCATCGATCTCTTGATGATGATGACTAAAAACTTCATATTTTCAATAAGCAAATATAAGGTAACCATCAAATCGTAAAAATCAATGATCCAAATTATAAACATCATTAACCGAACTGTTATATCACTTATAATCTAATCAATGAGGTTCTGTCGATAATAGTAATTACTCATAAGACTTTGATCAACTCAATCTAATATATTTCGTTTGTAGAAGGAGAAATTCAATCTATTTTTTTTGTATGAAATAATAAGTCAACATGTAATACTGAATTCCAAGAAGTATAATCTCTTCAGTTTCAATTTGAGATGACTTCACAACTTATAGGAATAAATGGAAAGATCTTCTAATTCACAGTCAAGTGATGATATCACACGTTAATAAGAATCTGTATTTTCGGTTGAAGGATTGCAGTAACTCATCGTAAGTATATGTGAGCACGTTTTGTAGTCACTTTCTTACATCTAAGTTGTATATACATACAACTTATATCAAGACAATAGAATAGTTGTACACGTATTTAAACATCAACTCTGGAATGCAGGTACATCCGGCTGACGAGTCCTAAATAGGACAAAACACGCGTCTTGAACTCCACTGCTAGCTACTATTTATCTTTGCAAAAACCAAAAAGAGTTTAGAGTGTCAATGTTTGTTACTTTAATCTTTTTTATCGTCTACACACAACTTATGTTACAATGACAAGATTGATTGATACATGCAATCCCAATTTCAGATAATTGTTAGATATGAATAGAGAAACAAAAAACCTTGACAAACTGTGGAAGCTATTTTTAGGGACGTTATTTCAGTTAATTCAAAGCTTGTAAAACATTAACATTTATTTTTGTTTCAATAGTAGAAATTATGAGTCAGTTGAAGCTAGATCACAATGGAAAGCCTTGGAGCACAAT